ATATCATGAAAAGTTGCAAAAATTGTCGCCGATTTTTTATAAAACAACATTGCTTACAAGTTGCTCCTTTGCGTGATATGAAATACAAGTTTACGTGAATGAATGTTTACATAACAATTAAAGTTCAGGTTTTGTTTTGCTGTGCGATTCCATTGAAAAATCGAAAAAAAAACATATAGGGTATACGTCCCTAACCTCGGTCTAATATGCAGCCATCGATTACGTTTTTAATCATAACTCATCAATGAATTTACCTGCAAACGATATTCTACTGCTAAATGGTATGCTTAGATATGCTTATCATGTCGTTTGCTATCAGAAACCACGAAAAGTTGAAAAACTTACTTTTTTTAAGACAATAACTCACGAGGGAAATGTATGTAATATGGGTCTATTGTCCCCAAATTGGGTCTATTTATGGATGCAACTTCGTCCTATCTTGTTTGATCCTCAAAAAAACGCTCTTGGTAACGTTTTCTGATGTATTTTTTTTTATCACTATCACTGTTAACTTAATGCTCTTCATTCCTCAAAACATTTCTTAGAGAAAATTTTACGAAAACTACATTAAATCACTCAATTTAAAAATTAAAAATTAAAAATTTCGCTTATCGTCTTTTGACCGCAGAATATCTAAATCAGAACATTGTGATGTTCATTATACAGGTTTGGCAGAAAAAATCTCCCTTCCTGTTCGTTCCTTATCATCCAAATGCAAAACAACATTGTTGACGTTACTCTTATTGCTATATGCTGTCAAATGAATTTCATGGGCCATAGTTAGGAACATAGAAAAGAAATGTGTCCCTAAAGTTGGGTCCATGTTTTACTTGTGAAAACGTTGTTAAACAATTAAAATAAACATAAAATATTCAAACAGCAACTGTAAGTTTTACGTCTAGTGTGTATTATCAGGTAATTCCAATCAATAAATGCCATAATCAGGCCATTTGATGATCGTCAGTCAACCTTCCCATCTTAACCTTATAAGTCATGGCGGCTAAAAACTCCGAACATTGTGATATTCTCAACCAGTTTTATTACTTACGAGAGCTGAAAATGTATTGAAATGTTGTGATATAAATTGATTTGTGTGTGGTACACATTTATCAACCATCAGTGATCAATATTTTCCTTATTTTTTGTGTAATATTCCTTAATTAATTATTTATTTGCGTGATAGGCCGAATGAAAGGACTAGACCCACATTACATACCGTAACCCTATGTAGAGAAAAAATCGTTTTTGAATTACTCTTGCAAACATTACATAGTTGGCAACACTGCCAAAAGTAGGCAATATTTATTTCTGATTCCTTACAAAATTCCAAGCTGAAAACAGCAACTGACATTTTCTGTAGCTCCATTTGGCACGGAGATATCGACGTTTGAAAATAGCATGTTCTTGACAATTTTTAAATGTTTTGCCGAAAATCAGCTAACAATTGTTTTTTACTGAATACTACTGCAAACATGAGTGATCAGCTGGAAATCAACGAAGAGCTGTCAAAGGGTTAGCTTCACAAGCAATCAAGTAACTTTGCACAAAAGTTAAAATGGGTGTCTAGAGGTCTCCGCGAATTTATATCTCTAATTCTTCGGTGATTTAAGATGGAAAGTTGACCAGTGTTTCATGTATGAATATTGCTAATATACTTTAATGCATGCCAAACTTATGTGTTTACAAGGTTAATCTCAACAAATATCAAGAAACATGCTCCCGGCTGGATTAGAATAATTCTTTCTCAAGGACCTACATAATACCTCGTCTAGTACGATGGAGGTAGAGGTATCAGCCTATATAAATTAAATTGAAGTGAAAACTGACAGCACCAAATTAATTAATCATGGAAAAGTGCATGCTATATTCTTTGCTGAATTTCAGCGATTTAAATTTGGTGTGTATAATCGATACAACGAAACTATCTCGGAAAACGCGTACATGTCTTACTCTTTAATGATCATTGGTGAGCGCCAGAATAGTCGAAGAAAGTAGGGTAAGGTGGGGCAAGATGGGTCATCTACTTGATTTATTTAGATTTTTGTTCGTCAACATCAACGAGCTCAACACACTAATCCAGCATTAAGTTGATCGGTATTTTTTAACTGGACCTGTTGATATTGACGAACAAATAAGTTAATAAATGTTCTAGCTGACCCATCTTGCCCACTTTATGCTATGTATTAATCCATCATCTATGGTTTTACAGCCAATCATAGTAGGTGAGGTTGTTTATTTATTTATGATGATGATGATGATGGTTCCACCTCTTACCCCTACAATGGTTTGAGCTGGACAATTTATCTTTAAGATAATTAAATATGACATTTTAACCAGGTTAGCAAACAAAATCGAACTGGTTACAGTTACAGATATAAATTCTCTCTAGAGTTTACAGTTGCTTCACAGCGATATAAATGTGGAAAAGCTTAGGCATCCACCTCTTAGTTCGCCTTTTTGTCCATCTAAAATATTCATAAGTATTACAAGCAATCAAGAGTTAATGAACAATCAACAAAGCATCCTATTACACTACCAACCCCGGAATCTGATGCTATCATAATTTTCAACAATGTCAGGAATGCTAACGAACCTCCGACGTTCAGCCATAAAACATACTACTAACTCAAGACATCATTCAAATAAGCTTCAAATTTGCATTTTTTTTTATCAAATGTTAAATCCAATCCTCTATATCTATTATACGCGCGCGAGTTTCAAAGCTGTAGACTACTACTACATCACATATAAAAAATCGTGGCGAACAATGTAGGTTTTTGTATATGCTACACAAATTACTAAAATGTCTTTATGACAGCTATCCGTACAAAATAATCCGTTTGAGATAACTTCGTCAAGATACATAATTTGTCAATTCTTAAAAAAAAAATCACTGGATAACTGTTCAAGAGACAGTTTTAACAACGTGTGAAATGCAATGTCAATTAAATTCTGCTAATGTTGTTGCACATTTGCTGTGTCTAGGCATCGAATTGACAACATTAATTCCTTTAAAATACAATAAATTCTGTGAAGCGCATGTCAAGAAATGTGGTGTTCTTATTTCATCCGCGTTTCTATAGTATTATAAAAATACGGACTACATCGTTTTTTGTAATATTAATCGCATAATCGCCCCTAATTATTCGATGTATTTATTTATTATATATTATTCGATAAAAAATTATCATAATTGTTAATAGGGGAAATGCAGGTAATGTCGGCCTAAGTGTCCCTAAATTTTCAATAGCAACCAAAAATATCCATTAGTAACGTCCCAATAACGCGTTCATCTAGATAAAATTGATAAATAGCAGACTTTTAGCGATGGGCCCAAATGCATTTCCCCTATTCGATTATTCAAACTAATCGAACGATTAACCGAAGTCCCTATATCGAACAGTGAACAACAACTACAAAAGCGAAAACTAAAAGTTTAGTTTTGTAAAGTGAAATTGCCGGGTTTTTGCCTCGTCTCCGTGTTTGTCGGAATTCAGTTCGTACAGTGGATGATAAAATTAAGGTCGCGTGCAAGATTAGATAGCTCTGCCACGGCTGGCAGAGACCAATATTTTCTCCTTCTTTCAACTGGTTTTGTCTAGTCATGATAACCGCGATACACAATTGTTGTTGATTCCTGTATTTAACGTCGATCTATGTTCCGCAATCTATAGTACCAATCACCGACGGACATCGATTGCCACCCGTTGACGGAAATCGAATGGCCAGGGAGGCGGCTTCCACAGCTGGGTAGATGTCACACCCATCAACACATGGGCTGGGTGACCGGAGATTTTTTCGCCTCGGTAAAATCCCAACGACCTCGGAATTGAACCCAGACACACTGGGGTTAGAAAGCAGTCACGCTTATTAATACACCACCGGCGCCGTCATATACCGTTGTTCGTATATCTTGCTGTTTATCCAAACATCCTTTTTTCGGAACAGACATTTCGCAAACACATATCATGTTCTTGGATTTGATTTATTTTTAATGAAAATTTATCTAATTGAGTTTAGTTTCATATGAACGAAGAATAATGCTACATTTGTCTATAACTTGGACCTAATGCAATGTTCAGCTTGATTTTTCTTGAAATGAAACCATACGTATCACGGAATACTGCTGATTTCGATTTGCCGATAATATTATAGCTGTTCGACACGCTGTTTATATGGGAAGGCTGTCGACGATAGTTACACTCACCAGGGATATTTAGAGCGCTGTGAAAACGTTTGCAAGCACTTTTGGACAATTCCATCGATTTTAATGGAAAGCAGCAAACAAACTCATTCATGTGTATGCGATACGCAGATATATTCTGCATAGAAATGCGAACGCTGCTTAAATTGACGAAAAAGCGTGAAATTCCCTAAATGTGAGTTATTAATTTGTATACTCTGTAAAAGTATGAGTTAGATTTTTGTCAACAAAAATATTAAACTGTGGCTTGGCACTCTTATGTGAATGAGTCTCCACTTAGATAAATAAAACCCATCATAAATCTGCGCTGCCCGGCGAAGTTTGTATCGTTTGTGATGAATCCCATACGGTGAATTACACTTGCAATTTTTATCTACCGTGGTGCCCGTTTACCGCTTAACCTCCATTCACCGCTCATTTTTTGGAAATTTGCTGAAAGATCACATGTTATCGGCTAATTCACTTATTTTAGATGCCTGCTAATGATTTGCAAGGTTCTACACAGTATTACCAACCTCAATCGAGGTTTCCGTTTACCGTTTACCACTCTGGGAAATAATCATAAAATAGTCATTACGACACAATTCACAAGGAACGCGACTGCGCACTCAATAAGTTACAAATCATATACGTAGCATGTTAAATGGTTAGACAATGTAAAAGGTGAATGGAAACACATTATCTATACACCTATACCAATTATTATACTAACGTTTGAAACATAATTTTGCTCTAAAGTGACCGGTGAACGGGCATCACACGGTACTTCAATGCGTATAATTCGTAGGATAAAAGGTTAACAATCTCGAGGCTTGCGGACAGAACTACGAAAATATTCGGCACACGCGCAGTTCGTTCCCGTTCTTGTTGGGGTAATCCGCGGATAATATCATCGAACAGAATGTAAGTACCTACCAGTAAGTTCCAGCGTCAGATACTTCAATTTCTTCCTAATCTAGGTCTACGAAACTATCATTGGACCAGTTGAATGCCTTGAACGCCACAGAGTTCAGTGCACTCTTCAACAACGTGGTCGAACTGTGGCCTGAGGCAGCCATATTCTGCAGTCACATGCTACCGTTCGCCAGTGTCAATAGACTAGTTCACACGTTTCACCTGTACCTCGGTGACTTGGACCAGGAGTCCAAGATCAGTGTAATGCAAGGCCATCCCGATTTGGCAGGCCGGTTGCTTGCTTCGCATCACCTAACGCAAGAATCCACCTTCGAACAATCTTGTGCCGGACTGGACCAACTGTCGATCGAAAATGGGATTCAGTTGAACGATTTCAACAATAGGTAAGCAAGGGTTAGACACGGATCGGTCGTTAAAGGTGAAAACTAATGGGGTAGTGTTTACAGATATAAGACGAAATTTAACTTTCCATTCGTGATCTGCGTTCGGCAAGCGAGGAAAATTGATGTTATCCTGAGTGCGGTGATGGCGCGGATACACAACAGTTTAGAGGACGAACTGGAAATTGGCATCGAAGAAGTGAAGAAGATCTGCGAACTGCGCATTCTTGAGCTGGTCGATGGACAAAGCGATCTAATTTAGGAAGGGATTGCAAAGTGAATCATTCCAGTGTAGTACTGATATAAGGACTTGCCTAAGAGAGGTGTAACTGTGACTGTAACTGTGTATCTATAAAGCATATTGTTTTGTGTATAATTTTAATGATTAGGAATCAGCTTTTTGACTTTAACTGTTCTTTATTTCTTGTATTTGTGTATTATCTTTATTTCATGTATTACTTATCAAGTGACACAGATGCGTCTTTTCAACTTTAGTTCTTTTGAATTTCAATTATTATTAGTTACAGTTCCTAGTCCTGTCAGGCCTGTTTTAGAGAATGACCACCTTGGTGGGATTGGTTTGTTATTAGCTTATTATAGAAACGTTGATGATGAGTCAAGTTATTACAAAAACGTTCTTTTTAAGTGATTATATATAATTGATGAAGTTGGTCACATGAGGAGTAGTTATGTAAATCAATGTGATGATAAGGTATCGAAAAATTCCAATTTTGTAAACCAGTTTTAGACACCCAAAAACGATGAATATAAAAAACTAGAACTTTTAAAATTCAAGAAAACAAGTAAAAGGCCCGACACGTTTTATCCTGTGTGACCAACGCTCTGAAAGTACGAAATTTTGTGAAAGCTAGAATTTAGGGGACTTCTTTAAAGATGACAGAATATAAATCACAAATAATAAACGATCATTTTTCTTATATCTAGTTACACAGATGCGTAGCTTAACAGAATAATTAGCGATAAAAACTATTGTTCAGAATGATAACGTTTCGACCACCATGGATATATACACCCCTATTCTGTATTTCGTTTCGAACGAAATTCTCATACAAAAAAATATTTTTTTGTATGAGAATTTCGTTCGAAACGAAATACAGAATAGGGGTGATAGACTTCTCAGATGTTTGTGAATTGCACAAGTATTAGTGCAGAAAATTAGGTAAATTGAAACGTTTTCTTGCACCAATACTTATAATTTACCCCGAGTTCTGCACTAATACTTGTGCATTTCACATACGTCTGAATTCTTGGGTCTGAATCTATACATGGTTATGTAACTTTGTCATTACATGGGTGAGGAGATCGCGAGGGGGGGAGGAGGGCGGGTTAAGTGCGGTTTTAGAGCAAAATGTAGACAACTCGATAGCTCGTCCATACAAAAATCAAACATGGCAGAATTGTGAATTTCACACATTAGAACACCAATACATACTCACCTTGGTTTCGATTCCGAGCCGCGAGTCCCTGAGTGAACACCCTGGCTGACGAGGGGAGAAATCTGCAGCAGGCAGGATTCTATACAGATCTTGTGTAGACCATATTGTCACGCCACGTTTCATCCTGGGGCTGGAGCAGGTCAACGAATTCCAAGAGTCTGAATATTTAGTACCACTAAAAATCTCCGGGATGCGGATTAAATCCAAGATAAAATCGAAACTCATCGAAGCGCAGTTCCTCGTCATAATCGAAAATTTTACTAAACAACGTTGACAACGGACAGCATGAATTCAAGAATCAGGAATTAGCAAAATTTTCAAGAATGTGTAACTAGCAGTGCTGAGATTTGTCAATGGCATTGAAAGGCTTTCGCACGATATTGACAAAATTGTTTTGCACATAGTCGCTGATAGACTTGATCCTCAAAAAAAAAATGTGAAGATCTCATAAAGTTTTTTGTTATTAATTTTTTTAAACTTTATTAAGGAGATTTTTAGCCTTTGGCTTGTTCATCTCCATGGATAAAGGGAGGCTTCAGGAGGAGTAACCTCTAAATACAAAGTTTATTTATGCGATTTTGTAAAACACTAACTGCTACTGGCTCTTCATATACTGCCTATAATCGCATATTAGTCCCATATGGATTTCTCGTCAATTTTGAGATAACAACGCTATCCACTATCAATTGGCATGTGCTTTCATGTTATGTGATAAAACTATGGACTTTGATCATGAAAAATGTGAAAACAACATCAGGTCAGTTTGTCCCATCAAGCAAAATAATCGCATATCAGTCCTATCCTGAAATTCAATCGCCCAAAGTTCAAGTTAACGATCTGCTTTTTGAATTGCCATATTTTTCACTGATATAACAAAACATGCATGCTTCATTGCAACAGATTTTAACTTGAAAAAAATATCAATTAATTTACTATTATTTATCAAATATTTGCATCGAAATTACACTTCGTAACTTCGACTTCAATTTTCTCAATGCCTACTTTTTCCATATGGGACTGATATGGGATTATAGGCAGTATACGTAAGCACATAAAAACATGTTAGACCATATTGTCAAATCAAATAGAAAACAAAAAGAAATAGTTACTATAAAACATGCACAGACAAACAGACATAATTCTTAGAAGAAAATTCTTCACAAAATATCGTCAAGTGTATTTTGCATGCACACTAGCACCCTCTATCATGCACATTCCCAGGCATTGTTTTGCAACCGAAGCATCCCTCGTTAATGAAAATTTTACACTAGTTGCTTTTCCCTCGTTCTGTCAACGCGTCAGCTGTTAGTGATGTCCGATTTTCCCAGCTAATCGATTACATTTTTTAATTATTGTAATCGACATTGATTAATCGACATGAAATAATCGATTGATCTAAATAATCGATTAATTTTAATACTCTTTGATAATAAAGAAAACCTACGTCTTTAAGAAAGATGTTGATTATTTATCCTTGGATCATGTGTAATTTATTGTTTTGAGATAGGGGAAATGGCTCTAATGTTGGCCTATGGATCTAAGATTCGGCCCATCACTAAAAATCAGCTATTTAACAATTTTATCTAGATGAACGCGTCATTGGGACGGCACTAATGGATAGTGTTGGTCACTATTGAAAATTTAGACGATTGCTCAATTTATATATTGGCCCAAATTAGGGGCATTTAGGCCTATGTTACATCCATTTCCCCTATAACATTTCAATAAAATACACTTTTACTCTTTAATTCTTATTAAAAAAATTATTAGATTAATAAATGCATCTTTACCGTGCGGGACCGAAATCCGTACACCTAAGCACGAGAGAATCATTAACGGTCAACACTAAATAATGCTATCACATTATGCTCTGTATCACATATTTTTCCTTTACATTTATCTTTATTTTTCCATTATTTGCAAACACCAGATCTTAAAATTACCTTTAATTATTAGAAAAAAGGATTTAAATTGCACATATCTTGAATCAAAATCCGTACAGCGTTCTACGATTGAATCAAAATCCGTACAATTTTGAATCGAAATCCGTACACTGTGTTGAGGATGAATCAAAATCCGTACAGTCATGAATCAAAATCCGTACATGAATGTGCATCGATCCAAACCAATGAAAAAAAAACATGTTGCTATCTTGAATAAAGTATTTTTTTAGAAGTTGCTTTGCTAGGAGTCCAAAACAGCTATACTCGTTGTTCCGTGCGAAACAAGCTATAGTAGCTTCCAAAACACAACGCAAACGATCGTCATTCAAACCACCCATCGTGGCAACAACGCACTCCAGGTAGAATTTTAAGGACACCGAACGAGAAGGGAGAAGCACTATATACTTCTCTTCAACATGCTGCTGCCTGCTGCTCGCCGTAGCGCACGGCAGGCAAGTATATAGGACCAAAAGTAGCAAAATACGATAGGACGACTGCTATAAAAGCGACACAGCCAGCCAGCGTTTTTTTGAGTATTATTCCGACCACCATCCAAGTTACATCCAGTGAAGTAAGAAAGCAATCTGTAGAGAAATAGTGAAGTTAGAATAAAAGTAGTGTTAAGGTGATAATTTGATTAGTGTGTTGAATCTTTCAATCCGAACGAAATACAGTCCACTTCCAACCCACCGGAGTTGGCCACGGTAAACGCGCCAACATAGTGGTCCTTCGAACCGGATCCAGCGCCGCCCGTAGGAAAGGATTCAACACCATCGCCACTCGACCGAGTGTATTCCGACACGCTTCCGTGGTGTGCCAACCACAACGTGTACCGCCAGGAGAGGAATCAATTATTGATCACCGCCGCTTGCGAATCCGATTCGCAAGTTTCAACCCGCCCGCCGAAGGATTTTTCTACAGAACCGCTATTCCGAAACCATACGTGCTCGTGCTGTGTGTAACGTACGACGTGACAACGAGTTCATTATGCCAGTGGATCGAACCCCGAAAGGTAAGCCTGCTGCTAAGGAAGCAGTTGAGGGCACAGGCAAGGAGAAGCAGCACGACGAGTCAGCAATATTCGAAGGATTTGCAGAATGGGAAATCAGTGCTGATTCCGAAACCGTGAAGGAAATAACGTCGCTTTCCCGCCAGCGAGACCAGGTCACCATGAAAGTAGTGCGTGTGCAAATGGCGCTTGTTGCCGTTCGAAACTTGGTGAGCCTCTCACAACTCAGGACGTACATGAAGAATATCGATGTGGCCTACAACGAATACAGCGCAGTGCATAGCAAACTGGTTGCTATCATTCCCCAAGAAAGTTTTCAACAGCAGGAGGAAGTTTATGTCGCATTTGAAGACCGATACAACTTCGTCCGCACGACCATCGATGAGCTAATCATGGCACACGAAAATGCCAGTGTTCGTTCTCAAGCCCCGCAACAACAAATCATCGTCCAACAGCAACCGTTGAAGGCTCCAATTCCAACCTTCGATGGTGATTATGCCAACTGGCCGAAGTTCAAGGCCATATTCCAAGACTTGATGGCCAACTCAGGAGACTCGAACGCGATCAAGCTGTATCATCTGGACAAGGCTCTGGTTGGTGCAGCAACAGGTGCTCTGGATGCCAAAGTAATCAGCGAAGGTAATTACCAGCAAGCGTGGACCATTCTCACCGATCGCTATGAAAACAAAAGGATCATAGTCGAGACGCACGTTCGTGGTCTGTTCAACTTGCAAGGAATGTCATCCGGATCCCACAAGGAGGTGCGACGTCTGCTCGATGAGTGCACCCGCCACGTCGAGAGCCTGAAGTATCTTGAACAGGAATTCCTCGGTATTTCCGATTTGTTTCTGGTTCATATGCTGACGACCGCCATGGACAACACGACCAGGATGGCATGGGAAGGCACACAGAAGAAGGGCGTGCTACCCAAGTATGCGCAAACCATTACGTTCCTGCAATCGAGATGTGAAATGTTGGAGAACTGCGAAACAGCTTTCCAGAAGGTTAATGCGCAGCCCGCTTCCAAATCGACCCCGAAGGTACAAGCATTCCAACCGAAAGCAAGCAACCCGAAGGTCCATGCCGCCGCAACCACACCAATCAGCAAGGAGGTTTGTGATTTCTGCCAAGGTGCACATCGCAACTACCAATGCAATGCGCTTGG